GAGAGGAGTGCCTGGTGCGGGCAGAAGCCTCCCCCGGGCGCTGCGCCCCGCACAGCTACGATGTGCTCACCTTCCGCAGCCGCGGCGGCCGCGTCCGCACCGTCACCGCCATCCGGCAGTGCCAGTGCCGGGGGTAGCGGGGCTGGAGTGCAGCTGGGGCTCCCGGAGACTCCACCAGACTGTCTGTAGGATATGTAAATGAGAGAAGGCTATTTTTTTTTTTTTTGAATAAATGCTATTTTAACCAGCGGGTAGAAATGAGCCCTCTCCTAAATGTTTTGCAGCTTGTAAAATAAACATCATGGGCAATTCACAGCTCCTTGGGGTTCTGCTGTGCAGCTCCACGGCCGCTCCGCATCCCAGCAGCCCGGGAGGATGCGGCTGTCTGGCACGGACTGGGGGTGGCACGGGGCGGCTGCTCCCGGTTACAAACGGGGGAGCAGGAGCCAGGAGAGGGGACCAGGAGCTGTCCCCTTTACAGACACCCTCAGGTATCCTGCGCCATGCCGCTGGTGAGCTGGGAAGAGGAAGCAAAGCGTCCTGAGCAGGAGTTTCCTCTATCTATTAACTCCAGCCTGTCGTTGCCTCCCTGTCTGTTCTGCATAATTAACAGCCCTTTGGGTTGGAATAAACTGTAGGCACCACCTGGGATTAGCGTTTACCTTGTCTCTCATGGTGTGGTCCTGGCAGTGCTTCAATCAGGCGCTGAATTAGTTAATTAATGCAAATTTTTTCTGTTCGGTCCCCTGGCAGCTGGACAATGTGTCATGTGCACCGGCACCAACCTGTTCCTCTGTGACTGGGGAACAAGAACTAAAAGAATTGGCTTTTATACTCAGAGTTCACTGGGCTCTCATGATATTTCATTAATTTCGAGCGCTCAGGAATCAACAGCAAATGCCTTTTAATCCCCAGGAAGCCAATCGATTATTAAAAAAAAACCAAAAAACAAACAAACCAAGAGGCTGGGCTAGGGTTCGGTAGCTCTGGGGTGACCAGAGCCCGAGGCTGCAGCACTGCCTGGCCCGCGGCAGGGCCGGTGCTCTGCTGGGACTGCTCTGCCCCTCGGCCTCGGCTCCCCGGGCTCTGCGCGGCTCTCGGGGGGGACACAGAGCCTGGCCTGCCTGCGGGGACCCCGGGCGCCCCACCCTGCAGCCCTGACAGGGCCATGGGATGGGGACACCAGTGCGACACTGAGCCCGCTCCTCGCTCCCCGCAGCGGCTGCGACTCGAGCAGTGCGAGCTGCTGCAGCAGGGCCGCGATGGGAAGGGGATGCTCATCTCGGAGGGTCCTCCTGTTTGTCCCATTAGTGCCATCATTAAAATCCAGTTAGTCTCCTACGGAGAGCAAACGCAGCCCAGCCAGGGCCCTGCCAAGGAGGCCCTGCTGGCCCCAGACCGCCGTGTCCCCTGCCAGCCCCGGGAGCGCTGCTGAGCCGCCCTCGCTCCCACTTGTGTACTGGGGCTAATTGGTGCAGGGGGCCCGGGAGCCCGGCTTCTCACCTTGTTAGCATGGCAATTAGCTCTCTTTACCGTCCTGATTGCTCCTGTGCATATTTCACTCCAATCCAGCTTTCCAGGGAGTTATAAATGCAGCGCCGAGGAGGCCGGGGAAGTGGAGCTGGGACAGGGATCACAGAGCCATGCTGGGGACTGTCCTGCTGCTGCTGGCCCTGGCCAAGCCGGCATGCCCGAGCCCGGCCGGCGTGACGAGCCGGCGGGCTGAGGCACTGAAAAAGCTGCTGGAAGTCTTCGGCATGGAAGACCCTCCAGCCCCCCCGGCTCACTTCAAGAAGCCACCCCAGTACATGGTGGATCTATTCAACACTGTCGCCAACGCGGATGGTGTCACCAAGAACCCTGACATCCTGGAGGGCAACACCGTTCGCAGCTTCCTGGACAGAAGTAAGGGGTGGGGTGGGATGGGGTCCTGGGATGCAGTGCTGGGATGGGGCTGCAGGGAGGGGCTGAGCATGACTAGTGGAGGTGCTGCCCCCGGTTTCGCTCCCCTTCTCAGCTCACGCTTCCCTCCAGCTCACAGCGAGGAGATGCGGTTCCTGTTCGTCCTCTCCAGCGTGGCCAAGAATGAGAAGATCCTGACGGCAGAGCTGCACCTCTTCCGCCTCTGGCCGAGGGTCACCGATGGACCCAAAAGGCACCACTTCTGCCAGGTGAGGAGGGGATGGGGCGGGGACGGAGCTGTCCCAAGGATGCCACAGGCGCACTGTGGTCGTTCGCCTGCAGTGGGAGCACAGCCCAGCCCTGGGATCGTACGAGCAAATGTTTCACAGAGTATCACAACGATTTAACCGTAGTGGGTTCTTAAATGTCCTTCTGGTACATGCAAACATCAGCAAAGGCACCTGAAGGCTGTGACAGATCCACGCTGGCAATTCCCCATCTCTGCTCACACCTCTGTCCGTGTTCATCCCCTCAGGCAGGACCTTTTTCCTTCCCCAGGTCAGCATCTACCAGGTGCTGGAGAAGGAAAATCCAGACACCCCTGGAGGGAAGAAGCTGCTGGCAGCCAGGCTCGTCTCACTGCAGACCTCGGGCTGGGAGGTCTTTGCCATCACACCTGCTGTGAGTTGCTTTCCCCCTGCTTAGGGCAGCCCAGAGAGAATGCCAGGGGTTCACACACAGGAGCTTTTTTAACCCAGGGGTTCACACACAGGAGATTTTTTTAACTCAGGGGTTCAAATGCAGGAGATTTTTTAACCCATTTCACCCCCAGCAGCCTTTTGGCTCCAGTGCAGTTTCCTGGCTGCCATCTCTGCAGTGACATGGGAGGGGTACATCCTCTGGCAGGACAAGAGTCCTGCCAAGAGGTCCAAGGGCTGCCCCATCCTGCCCCAAACTGGTCCTGCTGTTCCTCAGGGAGTGCCAGTGCTGGCTCCTGCCACAATCTCCCCTGGGCACACCCCTAGAGCAGCCCCTTCTCATGGCACACCGATTGTGGCCTCGGGGGTCCCAGTTTACACCCCCCTCCTGGCCTGGCCCCTGCCCTGGGGACACCAGCACGGTGCCTGTCCCAGCCCGCAGCCTGCGGTGACACCAGGTTGGTTCCCCAGGTTCGTGACTGGACCGAAGACGAAAGCAGCAACCAGGGTTTGCTGGTGACAGTGCAGGATCTGGGGGGGAGCCCGCTCGACCCCCCACCACTGCAGTTTGTGACTGGCCGGGACCACCACGAGAGCAAGAAGCCGCTGTTGGTGCTGTTCACCGACGACGGGCGCCGGGGAGCGTCACTGCCCACGGGCGGCTTCACAGGTGGGTCCCCCGTGCCCTGGCACAGCTCCCTCAGTGCCACCATCCCTTTCCTGGGGTGCTGCCCACGCGTGGGCTCCTCAAATCCGAAGCTCTTTGCCCGGCCAGAGGCAGAGGCTCTCTCCACCCCGGTTTAGCCTGCGCAGGGTGCTGCCTGCTTGCAGATGTGAAGCTGGATTTGGGTGTGGCTGTGAGACTGAGCCTGTCACCTCCTGGTGGCTCTGTCTGGGCTGGTGACCGGCTGTGGCCAGAGGGAGGGCCTGGGGGGCTGCAGCACCTTCTCCCAGGCTCATGCAGTGGTTAATGGCATCGGATGCTCCTTTCTGGTAGATTTAAAGCCTCTCCCAGCCAAGGTGCCGGTGCCCAAGCCAGCCGGGTCACGCAGCACACGTTCCCTGGACCGGCTCCAGCCCTGCCAGAGGCATCCCTTGTCCGTGGACTTCGAGGAGATCGGCTGGTCTGGCTGGATCATCTCCCCCCGGGGGTACAACGCCTTCCACTGCAAGGGCTCCTGCCCCTTCCCGCTGGGGGAGAACATGCGGCCCACGAACCACGCCACGGTGCAGTCCATCATCAACGCCCTGAAGCTGAGCGAGGGCGTCAGCACCCCGTGCTGTGTGCCCGACAAGCTCTACTCCATCAACCTCCTCTACTTCGATGACGACGAGAACGTGGTGCTCAAGCAGTACGACGACATGGTGGCCGGGAGCTGCGGCTGCCACTGAGCGGGAGGAGCAGGAGGTGGAAATGCCGCTGCAGCAGAGGCTGCTCCTGCTCCCTCCAGAGCATCAGTGGGGGGCCTTGGTCCCACAGACCCTCTAAAACAATCCTGGGTGAGAAAAGCAGGGGGGTGCTGGCTCTGCCCCTGGTGGTGTCACCCCCTGGGCAGTGCCCGGGAAGGCGCAGGGCCAAGCTCTGGTTAAGTCAACCTGAATGAGCCTGTGTGACTTGGCAGCCCTGGGCCAACAGCTCCATTTTGGGGTGTCCTGCGTGGGGGTGTGGGTGTCCCTGCCCGTGCAGAGGCTCCCGCAGGCTGTACTATATGTAAATAGCAAGAGCACTAATATATGACAGAAACTGCCTGTACACTGTCCTGTAAATGTCTGTACATTCCCATGTTGCTGTGACTTGTAATATGAATTCAGAGGAACTATTAAAAGTGCTGTTCTCTGAGGGCTGCCTGTGGACTCTGAACTGCTGCTGGGGATGGGGCTGGCCATGGGCAAGCAGGCACCCCATGGGCATGGGATGGGGGGCACATGGGGAGGGGCTGCAGGCAGAGGGATGAAGATTCAGCCACAGCCCAGTCTCCAGGGGCAAGGGGTGGAGGTTGGTGCACCCTATTCCTTGGAAGCTGAATGATCTAAGAATCCATCAGCCAGTCTGCAACGGGGTGGAAACCAGAGCTGACCAACACTGTGGGGTCAGGTCAGTGCTGGGGAGGTGTACAGAGGGTGGGTGTCAGTGTGGGTTCTGGGGAGCGGGTGTAGGTGTTGGCAGACAGGGCAGGGGTCCTTTTACACTCGCTGGCACAGCCCCCTTGTCCTCAGGTCCTCTTCCAACGCACCCAGGCCCAGGCAGCTCATCCCAAACCCCACGTGTGGACAGGCTCACCTGCATCCCTGAGAGCCCTGTCCTCACACTGCTGGGCAGGAGAGCCCTGGGGAGATGTCCCCTCCTCACCCAAATGATGAACAGTTTACACAGTGGCTGGCCAAGAATCCACGACAATGAAGGGTTTGGGCCTGGTTTATTAAATGCCTGTTCCTGGACTACAAGGTCTGTACCCCACAGTGCCCCCAGGTCCCATCACAGCAGCATCCCGAGGAAGGACTGTGCCTCCAGGCTCTAGGCAGAAGGAAGGAGAGTGGGTTTGTCTGGAAGGCTGCATGGTTGCAGCCTTTCCTGCAAATCCTCACCCAAATCTCCCAGCTGGACTTGGCCTGGACTGCTCATCTGCTGGGCTGGGAGGGAGTCACAGGGCCTGGGCAGGGGGAGCCCGTGCATGTTCCACTCAATGGGGAGAAGAGCAGCACCTGTGCAGGTGTCACAGTGGGCCACCGTCCTCAGACAGGTGACAGTCCAGCCCCACACATCCCACTGCTCACTCCCTGCGATTCCAGGGTGCCCCACAAGTCAGCCCATGCAGACAGACACACAGACACCCTGCCTGGGCAGGACAGCTGCCGAGGTGGCTCTGTGGGCCAGGGGTGTGGCACAAAGCAGTGAGGGGGGCCCAGCTGAGCAACAGCACAGCCCTGGACGCTGCTGGGACTCACTGCCCATGGGTCAGAGCCTCCCTGGAGGACAGGACCTGCTGGCCAGGATAGAGAGCAGGGGGTGTCCGGGGATGGGGGGCCTGTGGTCAGCGGTGATAGCGGGGGTCGTCTCTCCAGCACTCCGACAGCTTCCGCATGACTCGCTCCTTCAGGCGGATCCTCCTGGAGAGCTGGTGTGACTGACTTAGCTCATGAGCCTTCAGCTTGGCATAGTAGTCAGAAAACTTGTTGTAGAGGATGGAGATGGGCATGCCATTGAGGATGATGCCAAAGGAGATGCAGAGAAATGCCACCATCCTGCCGAGCACTGTGTCAGGCACGGTGTCTCCGTAGCCCACAGTGGAGAGGCTGACCTGAGGGAGGATGGGAAAAGATAAAATCCCAAGGGAACAAGCCCAGCAGACCCCACCAGATGGTGCTGGGACTCACCCACCCACCCCTCTGTGAGAGCCAGGTGTCACCTGGACCAGAATGACACAGAGACAGCAGCCAGCTCAGCTGTCCCCACTCCAGCAGCCTCCACAGGCAGGGCTCTGCAGAGCACAGGGTGGAGTGCTGCTGGCTGAGTCCCAGAGCAGAGAGCAGAGGTCAGACCTCTGTTCCGTCCCCACTTCACATGTGTCTCTTCAAGCCAGCTGGACACCCCGAGCTGAGCCCTCCCCAGCAGTCGGTGTCTGCTGCAGCTTCCTGCCCCCACGGAGCTGCGGCTCCAGCGCTTCCCGCACGGGAACTGCCCAGCCCCACAGGAACAAAGCTTTCCAAAGCCTCCATCCAAGGGAAACAGGCCCTGCCCAGAAATGCACCATGTTCGGTGACCAGGAGCAGGGCTGTGGGGTCAAGGTGAGAGCTGAGGCAGAGAGGTTTGACCTTTGCAGGGAGCTGTGCTCCCAGGGACAGGCTCGGCCTGGGGCATTGAAAGGCCTGAACCTTCTGATGCTGCCGAGTGATTTTGCCCTTCCTTGAGGAGGGATGAATTTGAAGCAGGCAGTCTGTGGTGGCCAAGGGGGCAGAAGTGATCTGTGGGATCATTTAATCTGTAAATCACAGTGCCCTTGTAACCCCTGGATTTTAAGTGCTTTAGGTACTCCTCATTTCGGAGTCAATACCAGGTCTATTCTAGTGCTCAGCTCAGCTGAGCTGTTGGCTCCTGGCACAAGCAGGGCAGCAAACAGGGGCAGCAAACAGCAAACAGCACACAGATAGCAAACAGCACACCCCCCAGTCTGTGTCCTCTCTCAGGACATGGGCCAAGGCACAATGTGCCCAAGGGTCCCACATGCAGCCCTGGGTCCCCCATCTCAGCCCCACAAGCTCTGACCCCCTTGTGCCTCCCAAGCCCAGCTGGGCTGTGATTCTGCACAAGCCTCAGGCTGCCCTGGGTGGCTCTCCCCATACCCATGGGGGCTGAACCACATCCACCAACACTTGAGTCCCCTGGGCTGAGTCACATCCCCCTTGTCACTAACTTAAGCCTGGAGGGTTCCCAGGCCACCACCTCTGTCCCACCATCCCAGACCAGCACCAGCTTCTGAGCCTCTGAGCTCAGTCCCAACCTCTGATTTCTTTTCTCAGAGCATGTCGGGCTCTGGGTTTCCCACCAGTACTGGGCTGGTAGGAAGGCTGGGCCCTTCCTGCTCCCTGGCCTGCAGCAGCGGTGAATCCCCCGAGCAGCAAGGCAGCCCCTACCCTCGGACCCCCGCCCCCCTGTCCGGAGGGAGCTGCGCAGGCCTTACCGCTGCCCACCACCACGCACACGGGATGCTGGTGAAGCCGGTGCCGGGGACATCGTGTTCCACCGAGTGTATGAGAGCCGAGAAGGTGAAGACACCCATGGCAATGAAGAGGAGGAGGCAGCAAACCTGCTGGTAGCACTGGCGCATGGTGAAGCTGAAGGCCCGCAGGCCGGTGGAGTGGCGCGCCAGCTTGAGGATGCGGAAGATCCTCATGAGCTTGATGAGCTTGAGCACCTTGCCCAGCTTGCTGACATTCTCCACCTTGTGCAGCTCCTCGTGGTAAAGCGTGTCTGCTTCGTCCAGGTTTTCAAAGAGGAGCTGGATGTAGAAGGGCAGGATGGCCACCAGGTCTATCGCATTAAATGCTGCCCGCAGAAAATTCTTGAAGCTGGAGGAGGATATGAGCCGCATGAGGTATTCGGAGGTGAAGAAGATGGCACAGATCATCTCCATCTGCTCCATCCACATCTTCCCTGTTTTGTTCTTCATCTCCTCCACTGTGCTCAGTGTCATGCCTACGATGGAGATAAGCACAAAGAAGCTCGACATGACGGCAATGATCTTGGCTGGGACAGAAGAGTACGGGTTCTCAATGAGGTTCCAGATCATCTTCCGAAACCCACCCAGAAATTTGCCATCAAACTGCTGCCCCGAGTCCAGGGGCTCCAGTTCTGCCTCCAGTTCCTTCTCTATTTTCAGGTACTCATTGAGTTCATCTTGCTTTTCCTCAAACAGGATCCGGCAGCAGCGTTGGGAGTATTTCAGATGGATGCCCCAGTACTCGATTTCCTCCACAAAGTTACTGGGGCACATCTCATCCATCACCCACAGGACCCCACTGCGGTAGAAGTGGAAGATGTAGTGGAAAACTGAAGGATCTCTGTCAAAGAAGTACTCATTCTTCTGCACCAAGTAGTCATCGCAGAGCTGCAGCTTCTTCGCAGGGTCCGTGTAAAGGGCCAGCTTCCCAAGCCTCGTGATGGGATACTGGGCCAGCACCTTGCAAGCTATCTGGAACGATTTGCCACCCACATTGATGTTGAGCAGGTATTTGTTCCTTTGGACAGGGGTCTCGCTCTCCTCGTTTCCATCTGCCACGCTCTGCAGGGAGCTCCACTGCTTTACCAGGCTGTCCTGCGCGAAGGGGATGTGCAGTGCCTCCTCCTCCAGGGTCCGCCGGCGGCCCCGGTGATCCCCGATCTTCAGGCTGGCCGAGAGGCTCGCGCGCCTGGTCCCCAGGTGCCTCATGGTGCCTGGCCCTCGGGAGCCGTGACTCCTGTTAGGGGCCGTGGGACGGCAGCTCCGGCTCCATGGGAACGCTCCTGCTGGGCAGGCGCTGGCTGGGATGAGCGCTGCGAGCTCGGAGGAGCCGGAGCAGCTGCCCGGGGGGCACTGCCGTGTCCCGGTGCAACGGGGCACCTGCCGGGGTCCCAAAGCCGATTGCTGATCAGATTGTGCTCCGCGTCGCAGGAGTCGGAGGCGGCCAAGAGCCCGCTCCTTAAGACACTAATGAGATTGAGGCACTAGTCCTTTATGCAAGGAACTATTTCCAGACCTGCACTTCTCTTTCCCCTCATGCTGTTCTTATTAGCTGTTTGCATTTGCCACACGTTACCTGTTTCCCAGAAGGACACCTGTGATAGCAATTTGCAAAGAGCACGATCTTGCCTCGGTTTACCCCCGCCAGCCCTACCTTGGCAGGACAGGAAGGTGCAGACACGAAGGATTTGTGGAGGCTTTGTACCCCCACACCAGATGCTGCTCTTGGCACTGGCCCTTCATTAAGCACTAATGCAGTTGTCTTGGCTCTGTCAGCTGTCACAGCCAGAAAGGGAGATGGTCGTGACCTCCCAGCTCATCCCTCAAGCCCCACAGTGCAGATTTACAGGGGATGAGGTGAAGGAACCACTTCAGTCTCCACACAGTGCCCGAGCAGATCCCCTGAGGGACAGGCTGCTCCTGCAGCCCTGCCCTGTGCCATCACATCAGCCTTCAGCCTCACCAGTCCCACAAGCAGGGTCAGGAACAGGACACTGAAAACTCAAGTAAGCAGTAAAAATTCCCCTGAACTATTGTAACTGAAAAGGAGGAAATAATCCTTTGGATTTCCAAGTAAAAGGGGAACCAAAATTAAACAGGTTTATCTTTGAGGCCTTACCCTAGAACCCTGACCTTGCTTCAACATGTAACACATCACACTGATCTCTATGAACTGGTTAATTAAATACAGAGACCTGGAGCACAAAGCTGCTCCTGGCCCAAAACCAGCTCGGGCTCCACTACAATTGAAGTTTTTGAGCCTTGGGATTAGGACAACAAAAATACTTCTGGCACCGGATAGAGGAAGGGAAACTGCTGTCACAAAACACAGCCCCAGGTTTTGGCACAAGATCCAGAAAATATGTTTCTTTCAACCCTGAAGCACTTGGCTCAGGGAGCAGTAAGCTAAACCTGCAAGGTCTTGCAAGTTTGCCTCTGGGCCTCACTCCTCATTGAACAGAGAGAGGGCTCTGCCCCACACCACAGAGCAGCAGCTCAGCTGGGGCTCAGCGGGGCAGTGGAGCTCAGAGGACCATCTGGGACTGGCTGACTTTGGCCACGTGGCCCTGACAGCACCAGCACTTCCACAGCCCCAGCTCAGCCCTGTCCTGCCGGCACTCCTGGAGCCCCTCCCGCTCTACAGGACTCCCCACTCCGTGCACTGCTCTGACAAAGAAGGGACAAGCTCAGGCAGTTTTTTCACCTTGTTGTAGGCTGAGCTCCCCACTTGTCCCCTGTTTGGCAACAGCACTCCTAGTGCCAGTGCCAGCTGTTTCTGTCCCCACCCTCTCCATTCACTCTGCTCCCTGTATTTCACTTCTCTGCTACAGCTGGAGTGTGCTGGAGTCACGTCCACCCCAGGCAGGCAGAGCAGCACCTGCTTCCAGCCCACCCACCATGAATCCTCCTTCCCAGGATGTGACAGTCCAAATGTGATGCAGCCTCCGAACTCCCAACTACAGAATTTAAGCAAACACACAAATGCAGGAAAATTAAAGACTCCAGAAGTCATTAGTTTCACGTTCTTTATTCTCCCGTGTCAGTTAGCACAGCTATTTCCCCCTATCCCTATGGAAACAGAAGCAAGGTTGTGTGCTCTTGCAAATGACTCCCTGCTACTAAAAATAGCAGCCCTAGAATAACTCAGGACTCCACACCACATTTAGAAGTCTCTCCCATGGGGTATGGCAGCACTCACAGGCTCTCCAGGAGCGGAAGATCCCTGCTCCAAGGTTGATGACTGGCATCTGCTTGGCAAGACAAGTTCCCACCTTCAAGGCACAGAGGTCAGCAGCCAAGGCAGCAGCTTTGTGCAGAGGGAACATTTGTGCAAGGTGCACGTGGCCCAGAGGCACTAGGCACTAATCTGCCCCTGCACAGCCAGTTCCAAGGCACACAGCACTGAGCCCTTTGGCTGGAGCTCCATGTGCCACACAGAGTGTCTGACCCAAGATGTGGCTTATTTCAAAGGACACCTCCACCAGACCAAGGTGCTCAGAGCCCTGTCTAACTTGGCCCCAGGGATGGGGCAGCCACAGCTGCCCTGGGCACCTAACCATTAGACCTTCCTTCCTCTTGTCCCACCTAAACCCAACCTGTCAGTTTGTAACTGTTGCCCCCTGTCCTGTCTCCATCTATCTTACAACCTCCCTTTAGACATGGACAGGACAACACAGTCTCATGGAGCTGTCTCTTCTCCAGCAGTTGCCCTGATGAAGATTCAGGGCAGGACCAGATGAGGGTGCAGGACCTTGCACTTGACCTTACAGAACTTCATGAAGTTCTCGTGGGCCTGAGGGTCTCTCTGGATGACATCCCCCCTCTCCCAGCTGCACCCACAGCCTGGCCTCATCCTCAGACTGGCTGAGGGTCCCCTTGATCCCACTCTGCACAGCACCAATGAAGGCACAGAATAGCACTGGTCCCAGTACAGACCCCCAAGAGACACCACTCATGTCAGAACAGTTTTAAGGAAGACACATTAACAGTGTTAGAGGAGCCACAGCCAGCGCTCAGCAGCGGGGTGGGCAGAGCAGGTCTGTAAAAGCGGAGATGTTTGTGTGAGGGAGTGTGTGAGGAGCTGCCTGCCTGGGGGCCAAGGAGCTCCGTGGTGGAACTGTCAGTAAAAGCCCCCTGCTGTGGATCTGAGCAGCATCAAACACTAGTGCAAACACGGAACATTTGTCTGGTCTGTGCAGAGTCAGTGAGCTCCTACGGAAACGGGTGAGGAAGCCCCCGTTCCCTGACAAAATCCAGGGGGAAGAATGGAGCAGGTGAAAAAAGGCTCTTGGCTGGGAGTGGAGGGCAACAGTGAACAGCACCTGGCATTTCACAGAGAAAAACATCTTTGGGTCCAAGGCCACGCTGGTGGGAATCAGCATTAACAACTGGAGCTCAGAACAATTAAGACATTCCTACCATCTTTGTGAGGGCTGATTTCACAGTGCCAGGGAAGGTCCTGTACTATTTCCAGAGCCAAAGTAGTCCCACAGTCTAAGACCTATTTCCAAGGGGAGCATTCTCTTGGTATTCAGTTTAACAACCCAGGTTTGAGAGCTAATATCCAATTCAGTCAGGCTGTGTGGCGAGCATGAGAGAGACCAGGCTAGTCCCACCTCGTCACCTCGGTGTAAAGATCCCTGTTACCAAAACAGAAAAACACCTGGTTATTGACAGTCCTTGGACCAAAAACCTGGTTTGACTTCAGTCTGTGCAAAGTGGAAGAAAGAAACCCACACCAGAAGATGAGTAGCTTACTATGGGTGCTCCATGTCCTTGGCAGCAGAGGAAAGGGGAGAGTTCTGCTGCTTCAGGGCAGACTGAAGACCAGCAGCAGGAAAGCTGGGAAAAGCTACTCCTGGGGGGGAATGCTCTAGAGGCCAGAAACACAGGGAAAGAAGGCATTTCTCCCTCAGGCACACACAGTACATGGGTGCAAGACACTTACCCTTCAGGGAAAGGAGCCTGTCTGGCTCTTGCCAGACATAAGCTGTTCCCTGGATGCTTTTTCGAGACTGACAGTGTTAGATCGGCTTTTTGCTTTGAACAGGCCCCACACAGCAACAGAACCCGCAGCTACCAGGATGCTCAGGAGCCCTGGAGAGGAGAATGCACAAGCAGAGACCCACTCACTGCCCTGCTCTGGGCATCAGGACTGGGCCCTGCTGCCCAACACCCTGAGCCAACAGCCAGAGATGAGCAGCTTCCCTTGAGGGCAAAGGACAGGCAGAGAGGAGGAGAGTTAGTGCTGGATCACACGGCATGGCCTCTCCAAGGACACAGCACATCCAAGGCAGAGCAATAATTAAGCTGTGGTGTCAGGCCTCCCTCAGCCCCTTCCAGCACAGCAAAAGCAGCTACTTATACAGGCCTGGAATTGACTCCATCAAGATACTGTATTTATAGCCCATGGCAGGACCAAGATCCTGAGTCTCACATACCTGCAACAATCAAGATCCACATGTAACCTTGACTCCTCGATGGCACAGAGACCCCAGGCTCGGGAGTAGCTGAGGCCTCTGTAAGGAAAGAGAGGCAAGTCCATCAGGCTTCCAACTCACCTTACAATCAGCATTCAAAGTAATCTCCAACCCACACCTGTCTGAGTTCCCAGCTCACCTCAAGAGTGCTAAACGGTCTTTTTCAATTCAAGCAAAACTTTTATCTGTCACTACTGTGATTAGCCCACATTGGAGGAAAAAAGTCCTACTGGAAATGTTAACAATGAAAGTTGGGAAATTTCCTAGCTGGAGCTGCAGCATCTCGACCTGTCCTCCAGACACCGGGAGGCCACAGGTACGGCCAAAACCCAGCTCATCTCCCCACCTGCCAACTGAACTGGTGCAGGCACCAAGCCCAAACCCGGTCTGCCACACCTGCAGTAATCCCCATCCTCTCCACGCTCATGGTGCTGCAGTTCCCAGACACCACGGAAACCCCCGGGTAAGGGAAGCCAGAACAGCACTACCAAGCACAGAGGACACCCCACGGAGCCGAGCAGCAGGCGCCGGCCGTGCTGGGGGTGCAGACACTGCCCGGACACCGGACGGCCCAGAAGTGCCTCCCTCATCCTCATCCTCTTCCTCTTCCTCTTCCCCTCAGCCTGCCCATTCCCCAGGGATCAGAGGAGCTCGGGAGGCAGGCAGACTCCCGTGCCCCGGCTCGTTGGGAGGGAGGTGCTGGGGATCGCGTGTTCCGAAGAAGGAAGCAGGCACTACAAAGGCGCTTCCCGAGGGAGCCCCGGGGGGCGTCAGCGCCGTCCCAGCCGGAGGAAGATGAAGGTGGGGGTCCCCCCCAGCGCTTCCTCCACCCACAGTGACCCGCAGCTGCCCCGGAGAGCCCGGAGACGGCGGGAAACAAAGGCTTCCGACCGCTGTGCCGCCCCGCGCCCCCCGTACCTGCGCTGCCGGCGGGCGGCCCCGCCGAGCTCCAGGGCAGGGTCCCCGCGGGGCCGCCGGGACTCGGCTCCACCGGGGTCGCGGTCCCGCAGTCCTGCTCGTCCTCTTCGTCCGGGCAGTCGGGGTGGCCGTCGCAGACCCAGTCCCGGGGGAAGCAGAGCTGGTCGGGCGCGCACTGGAACTGGTCCGGGCGGCAGCGGGACGGGGCAGCTGCGGGAGCGGCGTGAGGGGCTGAGGGGATGGGGGCTGAGGGGATGGGGGCTGAGGGGATGGGGGCTGAGGGGATGGGGGCTGAGGGGATGGGGGCTGAGGGGATGGGGTGGCTGAGGGGATGGGGGGGCTGAGGGGAACCCCCCGCACACCCCCCCACACCGCACAGCGCGCGCGAGGGCACCGGCCAATGAGAGCCAAGGGCGTGCGCGGGGAGCCAATGGGCGCCGCCCGCCCGGCCGCTCCCCCGACTCACCGCTCTCCGGCGGCAGCGGCAGCCCCGGCGGCGGCAGCGGCAGCAGCACCGCGAGCACCAGCGCCAGCCCCGGCAGCCCCGGCCCGGCCATGCCGCGGGCCCGCACCGAGCGGCTCCGCACCGAGGGGGCTCCCGCCGCTGCAGAGGCAGAGCGCGTGCGCTCGGGTCCGGCCACCACCAACCAATGGGGTGGGCGGAGGGGCGGGGCCCTAGCGCGGGGGGCGGGACCACGGTGCGGTGTCACGTGATCGGGGCCGGAGGGATCTCCGGGGCAAGACAGGCCCTGCCCGGCCCCGCTCCCGGCACTGCCCCCTGCCCGGCCCGGGCACCGCTCCCGGCTCTGCCCCCGGCCCGGTCCGGCCCGGCCCCGCTCCGGCACTGCCCCCTGGCCCTGCTCCCGGCACTGCCCCCTGCCCGGTCCGGGCACCGCTCCCGGCTCTGCCCCCGGCCCGGTCCGGCCCGGCACCGCTCCCGGCTCTGCCCCCGGCCCGGTCCGGCCCGGCCCCGCTCCCGGCACTGCCCCCCTGCCCGGCCCGGGCACCGCTCCCGGCACTGACCCCCTGCCCGACCCGGGCCCCGCTCCCGGCACTGCCCCCGGCCCGGCACCGCCTCAGCGCGGCACACGGAGCTGCCCCTGCCCGGGTGAGCCCCCTCCCCGCTCTGGGAACAGCCGCCCTGTCCCGTGGTTCCCTGGAAAACCATCAGCAGCGCGGTGGCCCGTGATCCACTGTCCCCGGGGAGGGGCCGGCCCATGCTCAGCCCCTGCGAGCAGCTCAGCCCCCGAGCAGTGTGTGGCTGCAGCAGGACGAGGGGACTGCGGGGAGAGTGTCACAGGCTGCTCAAATTGTCTCTTCCTTCCCAATCAGAGCATCAGCAGGCCCGGTGGGCAAGGCTGTGCTTTACTCAGCTCTGCCCTTCACTGGCATCTCGTCTGCAGCTCACAAACCCCCCCAGCCTGCGCTCAAACTTCTGTGCTGTGTCGCTGTTCCAGTCAAACCTTACACGGGCATTAAAGGGCAGTAACTTGAATAACTCAAACAGAACACACAAAGTAGGGAAGGGGTGTAGTCACAGTTTTAAATACATTTATTAGTAAGGTATCAGCTCCCTGCAGCACTCCTGAAGCCAAATCCACCACAGACTCCCCACTGGAGCTGCTCTGGAAGCACCTGAGCCCATCCCGCAGCCTTGGCTCACTCCCTGCTCACAGGTAGGGCTGGTCCTTGGAAATCTCCCACTTCCTAAGTGGTGGTCCTGGTGTCACTGCTTTTTTCTGTGCTGTTGTCACTGCAGAGCCTGAACTGGGGTAGAGCAAGGAAGAGAGAGGAGAGGCTTTAGCAACTCTATGGAAATCACACTCAGATTTAATCAGTCCAGATTGGAATAGTCCTGGAGAAGTCTGTTGGTCACAGTCCCAGAATGGTTTGGGTTGGAAGGGACATTGATGATGTCCACAGGCAGGGACAACCTTCCACTAGCCCAGGTGGCTCCAAGCCCCATCCAACCTGGCCTTGGACACTTCCAGGGATCCAGGGGCAGCCACAGCTGCTCTGAGAAACCTGTGCCAGGGCCTCCCCACCCTCACAGGCAGGAATTCCTTCCCAGTCTCCCATCTAACCCTGCTCTCTGGCAGTGGGAAGCCATTCCCCTGTGTCCTGTCCCTCCATTCCTTGTCCCCAGTCCCTCTCCAGCTCTCCTGAAGCCCCTTTAGGCCCTGCAAGGGGTCTCAGGTCTCCCTGGAGCTTCTCCAGTTGAACCCCCCAGCTCTCCCAGCCTGGCTCCAGAGCAGAGGGGCTCCAGCCTTTGATGCATCATTGTGGCCTCCTCTGGACTTGTCCAGTATATCTACATCTTTCTTGGATGCCCCAGAGCTGGACACAAGTACTCCAGAGCAGAGTAACTGAACTTCCTGCCACCTCGTTTATTTACAAGCAGATACGGACACAATTAGTTCCACGTTCACCTACCAACCTGGGTAACTCCGCACCGCGTTCCTGGTGTAAATGAGGGTTGACCCCGCTCAGCAGCGGCAGCACCGCCCAGGCCAGACCTACCTGCCGGGCTGTGCCCCTGCAGCCAGAGTCTTCTGCGCCGCCACCACCACCACGGGCGGCAGCGACTCGCGGCGCCCGTCCCGGCCACAGTAATAGTTATCGGCGAACTTGTGGCTGGGGCCCACCGGGAGCCGCGGCGGCGGCTGCGTCCTGGGCAGAGAGCATTGCGAGCATCAGCGGCGGCGCCCCGGCCTCGCTCCGCGCCCCGCCCGCCGCCCGGCCCGGCCCCGGCACCTCTTGGAGATCTCCCCGTAGCGCAGATGCAGCTTCGCCTGGAGGTCCCGCTGCAAGGCAAGGCCGGAGCGGCTCAGGCGGGGCGCTGCGCCGGGGGCTCCGCAGAGCCGGGGGCGCAGCGCGGCGCCCCGCAGAGCAGGGGTCGGGGCACGGGCAGGGACCGGGACCCGTCTCAGCCCGCCCGGCCCGGCGCTCTCCTCACCCCCGCCAGGAAGTTCCGCAGCCGCTGGATGATCCGCGTCGCCGTCGCCATCTTGGGCCGCCCTGAAGGGCAGCGCCGCGGGGGGCGCCGGGAGCGCGCGCGGGGCGCGCCGGGTCTCGCGAGACTCGGCGCTATATAAAGCGGCGCGGGAGAGCCCTGCCCCTTTCCGCGCCCCGGAGCCGCCATGGACACGAGCCGCGTGCAGCCCATCAAGCTGGCCAGGGTGGGGTGAGGGGTCAGGGGGTGTGAGCGGGCCGTGGGGGCGTGAGGGGACCGGGGTGGGCGTGAGGGGACCGGGGTGGGAGTGAGGGCCGGGGTGGGAGTGAGGGGGCCGGGGTGGGAATGAGGGGACCGGGGTGGGAGTGAGGGGGCCGGGGCGGCCGCGCTGACCCTCCGCTCTGTCCCCGCAGGTCACCAAGGTGCTGGGCCGGACCGGGTCCCAGGGGCAGTGCACGCAGGTGAGCGGGCCGGGCCGGGTTAGGGTGCGGGGGCTGGGCCCGGCAGGGCTGACGCGGTGCCGCCCCTGCAGGTGCGCGTTGAGTTCATGGACGACACGAGCCGCTCCATCATCCGCAACGTGAAGGGCCCGGTGCGAGAGGGGGACGTTCTCACCCTGCTGGAGTCGGAGCGCGAGGCCCGGCGGCTGCGCTGAGCGGGACCGGCCCGAGCGCCCGTCCCGGGGGATGGAGCCTGGCGACCGGCCCTGATCGTCCGCCGGGATGGAGCCTCGGGGGTGGGGAGGAGCGTGGTGGTGTTGCCGTTGCAATAAAGGGTTTTTCCAGTAGTCCCGTGCCCGGGTCTCACTCAGCGAGCGCCTGGGAGCTCTATCTCGTACCTGCGGCTTTCCTCGGGCTCAGCAGGGACAGCAGCACGCCCTGCTTGTTGCTGGGGTTACACATAATGCCTTCCTTGTAACGTGACTGCGTTATTGCATCTTTATTGACCTGTCACAACAAAAATAATCGTGTTTTGATTACAGCAGCCTTGGTCCTGACCTTCCTGGTAAGGGATTTTCTGTATGTAATAGTGAAGTGGTGCCAGAAACTTAACGGGATCTCAGTGGAATTTAATCACAAGTTGGAAATCAAGCTTGGTACCAGCTTGCAAAGCAACAGCCTGCTGCTTCTGTCTGTCTGTCTGTCCTTAGTAAGCTGTTCTCTGAGTGCTGCTATAAATACACCTCCTTGCTGTCCTTCCTGTCAGTTACATGCAGAGAGCAAGTGCTTCTCTCTCCCCTTGGATTTACTGACTCCTCTACCTCACTTTCTTCAGCTTTCCCCTCCACCACAAGATCAGCTAGTGAGCTGTATTGCTTTAGGAGATTACATGAAGCAAAAGTGTGGCTGAAAAATTAAGGAATGAGCCTGAAAACTGTTCTGGCTCGAGGGCTGTTTTTTAAGGACTGGTGTTTTCCATTGGCTTAGACTGGTCCTGGTTTGTGGTGTGTTTAAGCCAAGTCAGGTCTGCAGTTCCTGTTCAGTGATCTCTGATGTGAGTGTTCTTTGTCCTGCAGTGTCCTGAGCATGACTGGGGCAGTTCAGTGGCAGTGGGACTGAGGGGCTGGGTGTCCTAAAGCTGAGCAGAGCACTGTTGGGACAGGTGTGCAAATTGCTGAACTGGAGCAGGCAGTGATGACTGCTGTAGGGCTGGTGTTTGAGAGTATTTGTGGGATTTTTTTCTACAGGTGTTAGCTGTGCCCTGGGTAGCTCATGGGCAGCCTGAGGTGAATTTTGTGCCCTGGAGAAAGCCCTTGTCAATGTGCTCATGCTGTTGCTCAGTTTTAGAGCATCACACGAGGCTGTGCTCTGAGCAGAGCTCAGAACTGGCCCTGAGTGCCAGAAGTCCTCAGAGTTTACATCTCTGGCTGCTGTTTGTTCCCTCACAGCCTCAGCAGTGACCCAAGAGCGTTTGCTCCGGCCCTGCCAGCCCTGACTGCTGGGTGACTGGGACAGGAACCACCAGCTGTGAGTTGCAGCCAGACAGAGGGGAACTTTGTAGTGGGGATGGCTCAGAGCTGTGTCCCTGTGGGGTCAGCCTGGTCCCTGTCCAGGTGAGGAGGGAGGTGATTTGCATCCCCACACTCAGTCTGGTGATTGCCCTTAATGATGTAGCACCACAGAGAACCAGGGGTGGGGAAGGGCTATGGCTGCTCCCTCCTCCTGCTTGTTCCTGCACCTGCCTGGGACAGCTCTGTGGGAAGAAAACCACGCTGAGGGATGTGGTCAGTGCAGAAACTTTAAGGGAATGACTTGGAATGTGGGGGCACCAGCTCAGAGTGGGGGCTGCAGCTCTTGGGGGCTTTATCATGACGAGGAGGCAGGAGACAGCTGATGGTCACTGTAATATTTCAAAATAACTTTAAATTTTATTTATATCTTAAAAATAAACACCAGTATTAAAATAGCAGTAAACAGAGTAGTGTATTAGAGTGGCAGTGAGCGCTGTGTATAACTCCAGTGCAAAGCTGAGATGGGCCCACACAGAGGGCAGCAGTGTGGAGCCCAGAGGGAATTTGGGGAGGAGGTTTACAGTTTTTTGGGGGGACATTTCCCAGCTCAGAGCAGGGGCAGGAGTGGTCGGGGGAGGCTGGGCCAAGGAGCAGGAATGGGGGCTGTGACACGTTACCTTTGTGAAGGGCTCAGAGCTGCCTTCCCATGCAAAACCCTTTCTCGTCCCGGTCCTTGTCCTTACCCTGTTCCCACCCCACACGGTACTCACACTTGCACAGACACACATGTTCTCTGACATTCGTGTTCCCCTCCACAGGCCCTGCCTGTGTGCTCTGAGCTCTTCTGGCCCATCTGTTTTTCGTGACACTGTCCTCAGCTCTCTGCTCCCCTTTGGGAAAGTGGGCAGAGAGGGACTGGGCTGTGGGCTCTGGCTGTTTGCATAGTCTGTGGGACTGGTTAAAGGGGGAAATGTTTAGGAGGCAATTGCTTTCCTTCCCTTCGGAGAAGGACCCCGTGTGGGGTATTAGCTGGGCAGGCTCAGTCCCCAAACACATCCTTGGCCCTCAGCCCCTTCTGTCACTTGGCTGCAGCCCCAACTGCTCAGAGGTTTTGCTCCCGTTGAACAAATCAAATCCCAAGTGATTTCATGTGGAACTCCATCCTTTGGCCAAGCAATATAATTTTTTTGCTTTGTGTGCATGTGCTAGAAAAAAAAAGAAAAACAGATTTCGGACAGGAAAGGAAATGCCAGAAAAGAAGGGCAGCAAGTATGTCAGTCTGGAAGTGCTCCCAGCCCACGTCCAAGGCAGCGTTGACCAGCTGTCCCAATGTCCTGCACAGCACTGCGACCCTGCTCAGGGTCAGGAGCCGTCACTCGCCCTCCTGGCTCTGTGTCACCAGCACTGCTGCCGCCTTGGGGCTGCCAGAGAGCACAAACCAGGGCCTGGTTCTGCTGGGTTCGTTCTCTGCTGTTCCCTCCTCGCAGAGGGCTCGGAGGCAGCGCAGCTCCAGTGGTCATGGCAGGGAGCAGAGGGGATGGGGTGACTTCTGCTCCCTGCATGTCCCATCCCGAGGTCACGATGCTTGGCTCCTGTCACTTGGTGCAGCAAGGTGGCCACGTGTGGGTGGAGACGGGCGAGGGAGGCCCAGGGACAGCGCTAGTGACAGGACTAAAGCTGCAGAGAGCAATTTGGCACAGAGGGGTGGCAGGTGAGGGGACACGAATCACAGCCCAATGCTGGTGGTGGCCGCTGGCTGGATCCCAAGGTCGCTCTAATTTGGTTTCTTTGGACTCCCAGGGCTCCTGGTGGCTGTCGGTGGTGCCCCCTGCTGCAGAGAGAGCAGTCACAAAATGTCACCGACCCCTCCAGTGACTCCTGGTCAGGGCCAGCAGGGCTATTCTGAGCCTGTGGCACCTGGAATGCTCTGCCCTTGCTCCTGCAACCCCTTCCTGGAGACCCTCACCTGTGCCACGGGCCTGGGGTGACCTGCCCACCTGTGTGTAGGGGGTGGCAGGAGCTGGGGCAGTGGTGTGGTACTCACGGGCAGCTGAGCCTTTGTGCCATGGAGGTGGGCGTGGAGGAGCGCGGCGATGTCGCTGTGACCGGCCTCCAGCGCGATGGCCACGGCGTTGTTCCCATCCTGGGAAGGAAGGGAGAGCACGTGGGAAGGGGTGTGGGGACAGGACATGGCGTGGGGCTGCCCGGGCCCGGCGGCAGAGCCTTACGCTGTCCACGATGGAGACGTTGCAGGTGGGCTGGGCCAGCAGCAGCCTCACGGTCTCCACACGGCCGTGCTCGCAGGCGCACATCAGCGCCGTGGAGCCCTCCTCGTCCTGCAGGTTCACGTCGGCCCCGCAGGCCAGCAGGGCCTCCACCATCTCCTGCCGGCCGTGGCTCACAGCCAGCATCAGCGCCGTCTGGCCAGCCTGCGGGGAAGGGACACTGCCAGGCCAGCCCTGCCCCTGCTGTGCCACCCACTCGTGCCCTGAGCCCTCCATGTTTTAGCGCCACTGTCCTGCCCCTGGAAGAGCTGAGCGTGGCTCTGGCAGCTGCGTGGGGGTGTGGGCAGAGGGGTGGGATGTGGTGGCCCCCAGCCCGTGCCAACCTGGCTGGCCTTGGCGTTGACGTTGCCCATGCTGAAGAGCCTCCGGACCACGTTCATGTCGTTCTCCTGCTCGACAGCCGCCAGCGCTGCCAGCATGAGGGCAGTGTAGCCGGCCTTGTTCTGGTGGTCCACGTTACAGATCCCTGCAGGGGTGGGCAGAGGGGGCTCAGGATGCTGGAGGGCTGGTGGACCAAGCCATGTGCCTCACTCCCGCCCTGCCTGGGTGCTGTGAGCCATCCCACAGCCCCCTGGGTACAGAACTGCTGGTGGGACCCCCATGAAATCCAGGCTCTCACCCCCCTACCTATGCATGGACACAGCCCTGGGCAGTTCTCCCTGTCCCTCCACCCCAGCACCTTCCCCCTGTGCCTGGCAGGCCAAGTGGGCCGTGGCCTGGGCTGGGGGCACTGACCCGTGTCCAGCAGCAGCCGCACGATGTGGAAGTTGGAGTGGGAGACGCTGTAGTGCAGGGCCGTGTTGCCGTTCCCATCTGCCAGGTTCACCACGTGGGCCAGGAGGGCTGGTGAGAGCTCAGCAAACGCCAGGAGGTGGTTGGCAACAGTGTCGGGGACGGACGACTTCTGGCTGGACAGACGGAACCACTCCTGCAGGACCAGGCTGCTGCTGGCCAGCTGTGGGCACAGAGGGGCTGAGCTCTGCATGGGCCACCCTGCACCCACCCCACACCAGTGGCCCTGTGGGGAGCAGAATCCCTGCTCCAGAGGGGGCTGGGTGAAGTCAGGACCCATGTTGGGATGGCCTGAGCTGAGTCCGCAAAGGTTTTGGGGTATCTGGGACAAAGCCTGGAGCAAAGGGCTGTACTGGGGGTAAAGTGCTGAGCCAGGTTTTGCTGACTCTTCTCTGGGGAGGGCCAGCCCTGGGGGGATGCTGGCAGGGGCAGGGTGAGCCACCCCAGCACCTCACTCACCACCTCTTTGCTCTTGGTGGCACCGGGGTGGCCCAGGTGGGTCTTGACGATGAGACAGGCCTCTCGCATCCTGGGGCTCAGCTCGAACCTGGGGAGAGTAGGGGGGCATCTCGTGTAGAGGTCTGCATCACCCCACCAAACCCTTGGGGTGGGGCACCCCGAGTGCCCCTGTGGAGCTCCCCAGTGCCTGTGAGCCTCCACAAGCTCCCCAGGGCACAACCTCCAGCCCGGTGGCTGCAGCCTGGCAGCTTCAGCCTCTGCAAACCTCTGCAGAATGGAGCCTTATACGGATGTGCTCAG